TTGATTTTCCGCGCGTGAGATACGTGGATCTTCACTTAGATAATAACCTTTATCGTCTACTTCACTACCTGTTATTTTATAGATTTAGTATAGTATTTTATAGTTATAGTAGTGAATGAGTCACATACAGCGTTGATTGCTGGTGGACTTGGGGGGGAGGAATCGTCACGCAGAGCCTTCTTCCTCTTAAGGCGTATGACGGCCCCTGTCATTACCATTAGTGTAGGTACTTAGGGAAAATTAGAAGAGGGTCAAGTGTCAAGGTGTGTGCAGCATTTTCATTTCTATTTGTCCGAAGTTCTTACCTTTCTGGGCTCAGCCGCACAACGTGCCCCCCCAACCTCTGCGACTCGATTGTTATCTCGGGTACTTGAATAGGGTTGAACATCGATCTTACACGTATTTCGACGACCGACTTCAATATGTGGGAGGCGAAAGGGTGTAATTATGGAATTCAGATGATTCACACCATCGACTAATGAAATTCAATAAGGAGCTTACTTGACAAGCCAGAATTGATTGTGATGCCCCATCAGCACAGGGGCAAGGTAGGCGTAGCATGATACGGCCTCCTTCAGGTGCTTTTTGACCACTTTCTTTTGCTAGTATCCTGCATGATTACGCAGTTTTCCTCCCCTCTGCATCCTAAAGTACCATGTGGTATTATCTTCAAGCTGGATGTTCCAGCGACAGGTTAGAGGCCAACTTACGGCTAAGGGAATAGCAATCGAGTTGTTGCATTCCGAACAATGGAATCGTTGGAGGCTTTCATTTTCGCCTGCCTTTTCTTCTTTAGTGCTTTGAAGACAGTGAACACAATGGCTGGAGGTCGGAGCGGTTTTGATGACGTCATTGGACATCACCGACGACGCCCAATAGCGTCATCAAAACCGCTCGGACCTCCAGCCTCCGTGTTCATTACCTCTGACCTAGGTAGAGATGCTGTAGCAGTCTCATTCCATATGAACGGTCAGGGGGTAAAATCCCGGATCAACTAGGGTAATCAAGCCCTCCACTCTGTGGAATCCATCGGCTGCTAGCAGACGCGCTCGTTCTTGAGAATAATCACGGCCTGTGGATTGGCAGCCCTCCTAGTCATTGTTTAGGCAGGATAGCTTTCGGATACCATTGTGGCTATGAGCGGGACTTGGTACGCCTCCAGTTCATTACGCCAGTCACTTCATCCAACATTATGTACCCTCCCTTTCAAAAAGCGAGAAAGTGTCGGGTGCAGACCATACACCACAAGTGACGACGGCCTCCAAGTAAATCTGGTTAGTAGTGGTTCATAGTGATAGCTGATTTTTGGTAATGATAGTTGTAATTAGTGACAACTGATAGAATACAACTGCAACAGGCTAATCATTTCATTGGCAGAAAACATTTACATTTTGTGGAGGCCGTCGTCACTTGTGGTGTATGGTCTGCACCCGACGCTTTCTCGCTTTTTGAAAGGGAGGGTATGTGCTCGTGGAAATGATATGGAATTACTATGGAATGGATATGTCAGAGATGAAAAAAAGAAATAATGGCTTAAACAGAATGCTCTTCATCAAATTGAATGCGTCATCAGAGTTACGAAGAGAGACACGTTCAAGCTCTATCCGTTTCCCTGTCGACCTGCTAACAGATGCGATTTTTTTTGAATATTTTAGAAAGCGAAATCATTGAGTCCTTCCGGAAACCGGTGACTTGAAAAAAAAGCACGGAAAAGAGCGAGAGCTCCGTGCATCGCCTCATTTATTGACATTTATATGTTCCAGAAGCTAGTGGTGACAAAGCTTTTGCAGAACGGGACCCGAACCCGCACCTTGTGCTTACCGGCAAGGCGCTACTGACATTATACTTCACAGACTTCTAGACTGAGTAGAACCCACCTGAACTCGACTCTCATGCGTTTAGTAGCTTGTCCTTTGTTAAAGGACGTTCAATTTTTCTCTCGACACACCTTCAGTAAATACAACCTTGACAGTTTGCGTTATTTTTGATTTTTTTCTCTTTGGCTGTGAATTCAATGAAAAAGTCAAACCCTGTTGAGGCCCAAAGTCGTGGTTCTTCTGTGCCGTTTATCTATTCGCTAAACATGCAATGTAACGGCAAAAATATGGGAGTAAGAGAGCGCGATTTGAAAAAATTTGCCTGGAGGTATCAGAACGCATCTGCCAAGATCGAATGATTCAACAGAGAAGCTCGATCATTCGAATTTCTTTCATTATGTTATCAATTTTTTTGGCGAAACTGAAGTAAATGCACTTATTCCCAGTTTTCACCAGTTTGTTGAGATTGATCCTGGGTGGTCGACCTTTCGTGCATGTCTTTCGTTCAGTTCCTTACGTCACACAAATTTATCGCCGTCTCCTTTATCTTCTTAACGACGATAGATTTTTGAAACACTGTGTCTGGTATGACACCGTCGAAGGCGCAAAATGTGCGGACATTTCGTATTTGCCCTAAACTCTGCAAGCTCTTCCCCACCTGATATATCCCTTGTTGCTGAGAAAGGTTTGCCTGAGAAATGGCTGCTAACTCCCAGTGCGTTTGCAATTTTACGGTGCAAAACGACTGTTTGTTGAAGTTGGTTCACATAAATCGCTTCGCATACTTTTGGAATTGGCTTCACAATCTCCTTAAAAAGGGAATATTTAAGTTTGTCTCTCATTTGTTTAGGAATGCGCCCTATACTTGGCATTGTCGTGTTATCCATTGAACTCTCAATGAAGTGGACAGAGCTGGTCAAAGCCAAAATATGGGGCCATTAGGCTGATGTCAAGTTTGCGATCGCGCGATCGCATTACGATTCGCCGCGATTCCGCTAGCGACGCAGGTCGCGTTGCGGTACGCCGCCAAGTATGATCACTGCTGCGACCCGACTGCACACGAGTAGCGATCGCGCGTTCGCAAAGCTGACAGTAGCCTATTTGATGATGCAAATAGGACTCAAGGCATATACTGCGGTCGGGTGGCGGGTTCATGCGCAAAGGCGAGCCAGTGCTTGATCTAGAGCCTTGGGCTCCACGATCCTCGCTGAACCATCCGAAGTTGTGTAGCTGCTTTCGCTTGCTACGCTGGCACTTTATCGTTAGCCTAATTTGACTCAATATATTAACCGGAAATTTTGCCTTTAACCGTAACACACTTGATCAAAGTGCCCCATTTCTTTCACCTGGGGGTCTATTCACGGTCTCTCTTCGTGTACTTTTTTCAGCCTTAAATAGCCTCACCTCTCGGATAGGGTTTCGTCCATCCATCGGGGTGCATACAGCAGCAGGAGCAAGCGAGTTTCTCCTATTTTCCGAATCTTCATACAGCCGTTTTGGAGAAGCACCGCTGCCCTGCCCTTATTTCGGATCGGTCGTTTCCGGGCATGAATAGGAGCGAGCGGATACAGAATTTCATCTAACTATAAGATCCCTCGCGAATCTTCGGTTCAATCGCTCTATCTTTGGCGTCGAACAATAACTTTTCTTCTTATTGCCATACAAGGTATTGCAAAAGTTTGAGCTACTTTATGGGGTAAGGTATGCGGCTTTGCCCATGAATTCGCTATTCCAGAGCTTCAGCATCACCAAGTTTTAGAGCGTCAATCATTTTCAGAATTTCAGATGTCATTCATTCCATGAATTTTTTACGAGTGTTCAAGATATGCAATTTATTTATCGAATTCTGCGATTGGAATGAAGTGTTTCCGAATAATAATTAGCCAGACGTGATAAATATTTGAAAGGAGAAAATTTCCAGGGCTTCCCACCCCCACCCCCGCTAATTTCGTTGATCGTTTTCCTTCTCATTTCATCCTCGTGATTTCGACTTACAGTTTCAATGTATATGATTGAAATTTAAGAAGACAACACCCGAATTCTCTGAGAACGTCTGCTTGACCGGGGTCTTGCAACAGGAATAGTCAGCCTTGAGAAAGATACCAACTTAGATTGCACAACTTGTAATTGTTAAGATCATCACTTTAGACATTGAAATATTCGTATAGAGTTAGTCAAAGGTACACTCCGCCATAGCAGAAAGTTAGTAAATATGGGGGTGCTGTCGTTGAATTCCACGACCTTCGGATCGTAGTCAGTCGGGGGGGCAGCTGGAACTTGCGGATTCTTATTTTACTTTCCTGTTAAAGACCTGGCTACCGCTTCGGCCTCTCCTTACTGATGTTTGGAGACGGTGATTTGATAGTGTGAGTGGGTACTTTAACTGGCTTGTTTTACGTAACTGCTTCCTTGAGAATGAACGTTTGAGTAAACCTGCTCTGACCACATTAGAGTGCAACTATGAAGCGTTTTGATATTCACGATTCGCAATGATGAGAAATCGAAGAAACTTTTCGGAACACCTAATAACGGGACCGTATTTATTTTGAGCGGTAGGACAATTTGTGAGATAAATAGCTTTGAGCAGAGTGAAAATCGGTCCAGACTTTGTTAAGGACTCGTCGAGGATTTTTGCCCCTACAATCACGCTCTGCCACGCGGACACATACTCTCGCCACGCTCAGAGCGATCTGTGCTTCTCCGCGGCTTAGTACGTCCTCTCGACCACGGCACACGATCTATTAATCGAGTATTTTCCTCGATCTGGGGTATTCACCCTGGATGTTGAGGCGATTTATAGCGCCGGCCGCAGCGTTTGAAACGTAGACGGATGAGTGGCGAGCACGCACGACGAGGCAGCAGCGGCAGCGCACAGTAGAGCGTGCAGTTTGATGGGTGGCCAGGTTGATAGGTTCTAACTTTCCTAACCATAGCGTATTCGGGTATGCTTGACTTCGCGATAAATTTCAGTATATTTTGCGAAAACGCATCCAATTCGTAGTAAGGAATTTCAGTCCACTTTAATTGCGGTGCTTCGTAGGGCCAGGTCGAGCAATAGAGAGTCGTTCTGGTTATTCTTGTACTTGTCGCTGAAAGTGGGTATTTGCCATGCCCTGTGTTCTGTTCGTCTTATGGTCGTTCTTTGTCATCCATTTTTTATGCAACCTTGCGAACTTTCAGGTAATGGAATCGTCCTGCTCGACACCAGGGTCGAGCCGATCACGTTCAGCGGCAGGGTTACGCCTGCCGCTTCATTTGCAACAACCGTCATCGAGTAATTCAGGTAAGAAAGAAAACGATTATGCACACAAGGAATAGATCTGCTAAAAAAGCATGGCGTATCGAGGTGACAGCCGCTCAGTGGAGACAAAACAGTGAAAAACGTCGAGGAGGGAGGAAGGGGAGGGGGAGAGACGGGGGACAATTATTTCAACGACTAGGGTGAATGCCGCAGTACAGCACGCAAAATTCTATAATTACATCGAAGCCTATTCCGATAGGGGTTGGTAGAAGTGCTGTGAATCGTTCCACCTATAAGAATTCCAATTTTTGTAGGGGTAACGGAATTAAGGCGGAAGCTTTGCCATCGTTAGAGGTCCTCCACAGAAAAAAAACTGGCGAATTGCTGGAGGTTACGAGATATTCCAGGGTAAGGTATGCTTCCCGAATGGTTGGGGGACGAAAGTCCCTTTGAAATTTTTTTGTTTTGAACGATACTGTTTCTTTATTTTCAATGCATGCTACTTTAAGCTACACACATATATTAGATGTAGGCCCTTTATCAGGACAATCCAGTTGTGGACTACTACAGAGAAATTTTAAAGGAACTTTTCCCCTCGACACTTCGGCAAGCAATGCCTTACGGCCCCAGCACATGCCCCCCCCTCAATCACTAAAATGGCCCACAAGTTGATTCGATACCACTAAAACCATAGAATTGTATAGCATACTCCCTCCACTTGATTGATCTACTTCAGGCCCAGCCGTGGTGAGCCCGTCTGTGCACAACGTTCGACCTGGCCAAACCTATGTCACTGTGCAGACGCTTACCAAGGAGAATCTGGTCATCGTTGTGAATGTCAGTTTCGATCATTCCTTGCTGTTAACGTAGTCGCTTTAATGATCGGCAACATTCCAGCAAAAAACCAAGGTTCACGATGTGCTGTGGAAATGTGGGGAGATTCTGGAAATCACCGAGGACAAACTGTTTGGACTTGCTTTGCGCCAACCCACTGAGGGAATAGGTAAGTACTTTGGGCATAAATTGTTTTATTTATTTTACTTTTTCCTCGTTTCCAAGTTTATTTTATAATTTCTTCGTTCGTATCGTTTATTTTCTACTTACTTCGTTTAACTTTACTTCATTCTATGTTAATAGCACCGCCCTTTCAAGAGCGTTAACTATTTTCGTTGATCTGATTTGTATTTACTTTGTTTTGTTCTGAAAATACCCATAGGTCCGATCTCTTCACAGAACTACGAGCTTCGCCTTCGGATGAAATCGAGTGTTTCAGGTGGAGATCAACCGAGGCATGAGTATTTTTTCCTGGATCCCGCGCAGAAGATCGTAAAGTATGCTCCGAAGCAACCGCGATTCTCGCAATGGGTAGGTATTATTTATTCATCATTTTTATTTTTTTCTCATATTTCGAAGGTTTAAGCCCGCGTTACTCCTTCAGGACTTTTGTATATTTTGAAACGTCTAAGAAATGATATAACAATTTGGTTGGTGGGGGGGGGGCGGAAGGCAGCCCGTCAAATCACTTCAGATTCGTTGAAAAAAATCAGTTCTAGACTAACGCCTTCAGAGATTACGAGGTCTGCTTTCTTTCCGGAGCTCGTACATCTCTGTTTAGCTCAGTCTCTAATGGCCACTCCTTACGCACCCGCCCCCCTCCCCGGTAGGAACGAGGGTATGGTCACGAAGTCTCGGGGTCTTATCCTTACCTCTCGACAACGAGGCGGCTATACTTAACGTACCATGACAAGAATATGCTTTTCGGAAGTACCTTAATGCTATACGCTCGCTAAACGCGTTGCGCGCTCTGATCGCAACTGTGTCCTTCCTATGGAGAACCGGCCTATTTTTCTGAGATTGTTCCCGACTCTACCACCACTTGCTCTCGCAATTGTGCGCAATGCGTCGGATGACCTAGTTGCAGGCGTCAACCTACGTTGGGCAACTAGCACCAACCGTAGTTTGTGAAGTGGTATCGGAGTAATAAGCTAGTGAACGCCCGCGGGAGAAAAATTTGTGGGTGGGCTGTGAGAACCCCCGCCCCCCCGCCTTTCGATACCGTAAGTGGAAAATGAAGGGTAAGAAAAGTGACAGTAGAGGGAAGTCGAGGGAAAAGTATAGGAAGAGGAAGAAATGTTGCGGTTTTCGTTTATTGGTAATTAAACCCCCGCCCCCCTCGCGCGGCATTTTCAAGGGGAAAAGTGCGGTGAAGAAGGGTGCGTCGATTAAGTTTCTCGGGGGTGGGGTGTATTACGCACCGGAAACGGCAAACTTTCTCACGCGCGCTGTCACCTCTATTACACAAACTTTAACAAACTCGGGGTCTGGAAAAAGTTTGCAGAAAGTCCCAGCGATAGGACGACCCTGCCTTGTTGGCCTCAAGCTGCTCATGATTTCTCTCATCACAGTTTGAAAGTGACTCAATTGGCTCTGACATAATTCCTAGGATTTCTCCGTGATTTTCTTCCATCAACTCTCGTGTGCCTCCATGGTACCATTCATATAGAGCTTCACCAAAACTTCCCGTAACAACCGCTTCGAGCCAGGGATCGGTTTTTTGAATTCTTTGCATCCTCCATTCGAAAAGAATGCAGTTATTACGCATGTTTAGCTCTGAGTTGGTTTCATCGTAATCGTCAATTCTGAATTCACTAGTTTTTTTTTTTGACGTCAGCCCATTTTCTGAATTCTTCGCATCTTTTCGAATTCACTAGTGGCTTTGTTGGAGCATACAAAATTGATAATTGTTCGTTACATAGAGAACGCTTCCCTGAATCTTCCCCGGGTAGTATCCCATCAATGGGCGGAAGTAGTGTAGCGACAATGGCGCGGCGCAATCACAGCGAGCGGCCGCAGAAAAGAAAAAAAATCAGCCTGCGGTCGTAGTTCGCCGCGGGCCAACCTAAGCCTCTCCATCTCTCGGATCGGGGTGAAGTTATACGAATTGTATAGGCCACATCGCATTCAAAAGCCACTGCGAATGTACAAATGGAAGTAGAATGCGTGCCGCATCCCAAAAAGGGATTGATCAACGGCAAATGCTTTATCCTTTATCCTTTATATCTCAACTGATGACATTCGTATAGCATACCTTAGTATCAAAGCATGGGGCATTTTGAAATTATTTGGTAATGCGGAACAGTAGAACGAAAGAGTCAACCGTTCCGTCACGTCCAGCGCCAATCAGAGGTTCATGGGTCGTAGTCCGCGATGGGTTTGGTAGGGGACGTGCATGGTCGTACACCGGGGTTCCGACTTGGTATGAGAAGCCATGGGCTTATGGGAAAGAAGCGGTTGCTTCTAGGCTCGTCGATATTGTTGCAAGGGCTTGAGAAGAAAGCATAAAATGGACAAAATTAGAAGTTGCCCCTTACATACCACATTTCCTTCCTCCTCCCCACCAGGATAAACCGTGCGTTCGCACTATTAGAACGAAACGAGGGGGTCGCATTTGTGGTTGGTTTTGGGAAGGGGGTCGCATTCAATGGTTGAGTGGGATTAGTAGATTTATTTGAGTGAATAGTGAGGCAGCTTTAAGAACGGTTTTCGGAGGGGATTTAGTCGGAATTTTGGATGTGAATGCGCAGGAGGAAATTATTGTTGCAACCACAATATCTGCACCCCACGCCCTCCCCCGCTCGATTCGCCTTAGCCATCGATGGCGAAGCGATGGGTGATGGTCGGGGTAGGAAGAAGGGTGGTGTGTGGGGGGCCTCATTGAGCTCGCATGGTGGTGGTGGGGGTTGCATTGGGATCCCCCTAAAGGAGGGGGGTCGCGAAATTTGAAAAAGTGCGAACGTCACGGTTGACCCTGCTCCCCACCCCCTCCTTTTCGGAGAGAAAAGTGGGCGGAGTTGGAGTGCATCAACTGGTCACCTGCTTTTAAAATGATACTACTATGGAAACAGCCATGGTGGTTGATGGTGATGGTATGGGGTGAGTGGTGGGAGGATATATTCGTCGATGACCCATCTCTCCTCTCCAGGTTGGTGGTAGGTGGGTCCTGTAAGAACCCTCCCAGAGGAGGAAGGTCATAAAAACTTTCGAAGTCGTCCGAATGCCACGATTGACCCAAGCCCGAAATTAGTCCACTCGGATTTGATACATCAAGTAGGGGGCTAAGCGCGCTGCCTACTGTTCTTTTGATACCTGTCTTTTACTTATTCTGGTTTTTAGGGCCTCAGATCACCTTGTGGTTCGTTGAAACCATTTTCTCGAGCAGTTAAGCTTAACGGTATTGTTGGTTTTCAATAGAATGAGGCCTCCACGTTTGTTCACAGAAAGGAAACTTTCCTCCTTCATTGGCATTGAGGGCCGGGGCAAAAACTCGCTTCGTTGCTACATTTCGTGCACGTTCCAGCGCAACATGTAGAAAACAACGCAAAGGCGTTTCATGTCCGAAACGATTGCTGTTTTGTAGGCATATTCCGCGATTGAATGGGCGTAGGTTATTGCTTCTGAGAAAGAAAGCGAATGCGCTATTTTGGCTCGATCGGGAATTAAAGAGAACAAACGGAACCACAAAGAACCCTAAAAATCGCATTTCGCTGATCGCATAGGAGGTACCGGCCCGGATATTGGCGCCCTTCTCATCAATCAGCTCCAGTTCCTCACCGCGATTCTATGTCAAGGAAAGGGCTGACAATGAAAAGGGCGCCACTGCTCCAGTGCTCTCGACCTGTCTCTGGGTTATGATTTCAAGGGTTCTTAGAGGATTTATTCGGCGTTTTTTATTAATGGTAGACCCAAAGTACCACTTCTGCTTTCATTTTTAGGCACAATGTTCCACACCTATTTAATTGCGGAATGAAGCCTTTGAGGGATATCTCTAACAAAAGTAGGGCAAATTTTTTTACTTTCTTTGAGGCCTTCAGCTGGCTATCTTTAAGGGGGGGGGGACCACAGCTCCTCCATGCTTTCCGACTTCTGACGGCTTGCATCCACTGTAGACCACGTTGTATGAAATAATTTGAAAGCGAGTCGGCCCATCGAGGTTGCGGTCTTATTTTGCTTTTTGGGAGCTACCCAGTGACTCGAAGGCTCCATGTGTCATCGCTTCGGCGACCTAAATGACCGGACCAACGACGTCTTGATTGAGCCATGTACTGCAGGGGGTCCTCCAAATGTAGTAAGAGATAAGGATAAGGCATTTGCCGTTGATCAATCCCTTTGGGATGCGGCACGCATTCTACTTCCATTTGTACATTCGTAGTGGCGTTTGAATGCGATGTGGCCTATACAATGACTTGCGGGGGCCAGCCGATGTACAAGTCAGTGTTTTTATCCTCCCAGACAAGTCTGGTACCAATTAACCGACCCCGGAGGGATGGAAGGCTTGGTTGGCCCGGGCGACTCACGACCCAGGATTTGATCCCCGGACCGCTCGCGTGGTAAGCGTGCCACTTGCCACTACACCACTGCCGATCTCCAAATGTATTATATAATGCGAACTATTAGCCAGTAGGTGAAGAAACGTCGTGAGGAAGTTTCATCCCTTATCAGGAAGTGATCGATATCGTATCTGATGCTTTTCGTCAGAACTGCTCTTCATCTGTAGCGGTGTTAAATTCCATGTCCCATCCATTCTTTGAAAAAGTCTGATTTCGTAACGTGTGCATATTTTTTCTTTTCCACAGGCGTTCTTATTGTGGGACTTTCTACCCCGAAACTTTTCTGACCACCTGGTGTGTTTTTAAAAGGTTCTAGTCTTCCACGCGAAGGGCAGCGAAGCGCTATACTCTGTCAGATAATCAGTAGCCGATAGCAGTAGTTTGTATTCAGATGTCTTCCACGGCCTTCACGCTCTCTGTGTCCTCTCTGGCTCTCAACGTGTCCTCCGTCTCGTAGCGGCACTTCCTGTTATCTCGCATAGATCACGCCCGTTTCTTCGCATTCCATTCCGTTTTGCGTCTTCTTCACAGATGCCTATCTATATCTGGTAGTGCGGCCGTGCGTTTCGCCAACTCGTAAGGTCAGAACAGCGCTGACTAGAAGAGCGCAAACGAACGAAGGGAAGAAAAAGGAGGGGTGAAGGGGACTTGGCGGCACACGAGAAGACTTTGGGATTTTCACTCATTCTTTTCCCCAGCCGTTATAATTAGATTGGCCCATAGAAACATGGGTTGGACTGTGAGCCTTTACTTAGCTTGCCGTTCCACGAGGGTTGTCGGTATACCGGTATTTGAAGAATGAAGTATAGTTCCCATATTTCCATGCACGTGACCCTATATAATGCAAACATGGTGCTGTACTGAAGCCTCATAGGGATCTCATGTTGAACGAAAGTTTGAGGCTCCAAAAATTGGATTATTTTCTCGTCGGTCGCAAAATATTGCAAGTCATTTTGCGAAGCTTTCGAGAATAAAGGCAAACTCCGGGATTGAACTGGTGCTATGAGCGCTTCGTAGTGATAGCTTAGCTGCGGAACGACCTGAAAGTGGAAGGGAAAGCAAGAGAAATCTTTGGAAACGCTGAAATTAAGGCCTTAACCTTCAATAAGGTCGGATACGATGGCGAGACAGGGCGGTCAAAGAAGACAAAATACGCGAGAGAGCACGTCGTTTGAGAGAGCACGCTGATCTCACCACCTCTCGCGGTGGGTGGGAAGCGTTGGAACGGGGTCGATGGTTGCAGGCCCGTAAGGATTAGCGCCCTAACCGCGCAATTTTTGCGACGAAGCTGGAGTGATCTAGGTAGGTACGGACCTTACAATTTCCCTCGCGGTATCCTTCCTACTAGTCGGGCTAATCCCGGGGTTTGCCTTTAAGTCTTTTGCAGCTTTTGAAATTAAATTTTTGGAGCCTCGAACTGTTGCTCAGCAAAAAAATTGTTGGAAAAATGGGGTACGACCTTCTTGGTCAGCGCCAAAATTCTTCAGCCAGATAGCATCCGGTTATTGCGTGAAAGAAGCAGTATTCGTGACGGTCTGTAATTTATTTCTATGTACGGTTTTGCTTGCCGGCTGCCTATTGGAATTTGACAACATGCACATCAGCCGGAACACGAGTTCCAGTGATAAAGACTGACGTTGTGGTGCGAATGTTTGTGGTGTAAACCGTTTTTTTGCTTCCTGAAAGATTCGTAGAACGGTCGTTGGAATTCCGATAAATGACAAAGAACTTGTGGCAATCAACAAGGTTTCATTCAAAATCCGAGGTTATTCGGCTTCCTTTGATAGTTTCCACTGGCCCGTGTATTTTTATCAGAATTATCGGGGAGAGGGAGATGGAGGGATGAGAGGGAAGGGGAGCCTCCAATCACGCCCACAATCGGCGCATCAAATTCTGGATGAAATCTAGCTCAGACCAACCCGGCCTCCGCCGCTCTAGGATCGACTCGGCGGGGAAGGTTACGAACACTGAACCGATCATGCCGCATATCACATGGCTCGGCAAGTTAATGTTCCGGGCCAGCTAACAATATAGAAATCAGTAGGAGTGGAAGTGAAGGTGCATGGCGCACTCGAAAAAGACTTCATCTACAAAAATGTTATTCTATTTGTCTGAAATGAAAAACATGTAATGCATTTAAACCAAAAATCGTTAACCAAACGAAAGCGGGATAGGGAATACCTTGAACAAGAATAAATAAATAGTAAATAAATAATAATAAATAAAATAAAATACCTTTAAGGCGAAAAATCGTACATTACTAAAGAGTGATTTTTTTGAGGCACTACTTGGGAAAACTCAGTAAATTCGTTGTCTTACAACGAACGTGTTCACTTTCTTTGAATATTCTTCGGCTCCCTCAATCCGGACAGTTGCCTGTTTCTTCAATTTAAAGGTTATTTTACCTTCTTAGGTGTTATTCACCTTGCTATCCCTGTTACAGACTTCATCTTCAACCTTTTGCTGAGTCTTTTCCTTAGAAGTAATAGATTTTCGCGAGCGTAATGTTTAGGAATTGGAAAAAGACCTTTTGACAAAATTCAGTTCAAACGAACAAGGCTTTCTATGAAAATAGGCTTGTTTCTCAGGGAGGGCGATTTTTCAGAGGCGATAGTCGGTTTCCGGTATGCTTTACGAAGCCTTCAGTCCTACTCTCCGTCTTGCTCTTTTCCCTGTAGCGTTATTTGTGGTGCCTTTGCCCGGCGCGAAAGGTTTGGGTTCGAGTCCCGCCTGGGGCGGGGGGTTTGTTCATGACCGAGCATTCTTGTTTGCTCTCACTGCGAGGGGTCAACGTCACGTTGGACCGACAATTGACGCGACGTTGGACCGCGGTTACATTGAGTACGTTTCACTATCGGCGATTACTCTCAGCACGCGTGAGAGAGCCATGCGTTGGAGCTTTGACAAAACGGGACGGTTGACCCTGCTTCATGTCCATCATCATAACGTGCACTCTGTTTGTACTTTCTACCAGTTTTTCGAATCGCTTTTGCAATTGGCGGAGTAAATTTATTTTGAGGACGATGTTGGAAGTAGTGCTTGAACCTAATCTGCAAGTTTTCAGCATAATCGAAGTATCTGAAAATCGCCCATTTGCTCGTGTGTACTTTCGGGTTCGAGTTTTACATCGATCAAGTTCGATTGTTGACGTGAGTTCCGCCACTTGGAAGAGTTTTTTCTCCTATTGTGCAGTGATGATTATGAATCACTTGCCATGCGGTATCATAAAATAACTTGTGGGCGATAATGAGAAGGAGAAGTTACCTGTTTTCCACAGACTGGCGTGATACCAGGCCAGCTATGCTGGGAAGAAAGTTCTAGAAAATATTGAACTCAAGGGAAAGCAATTGATACTCGCAGACACGAGTTTAGCATCATTTGAATATTCGCCGCTCGTGGAAGTTGTAGTTTAGCGTCCAACCTACTGTTGCATGATATAACGACGGTTTGCCAACATGGACCCCGTAGCTCACAGTGGTAAAAGTTCGGTCGGGAAAAACTCAACAACGGTGTCGACCTAAGAGGGGGTCATATTCGGCAAAGAGGTTTTTACTTAGGGCGGGAACCATGAAAAGAACTAGTTGCAAGGGATTTGCCGGATTTTTTTCTAGCTGAATATAAGCAGATATCCAAGGAATCAGCTTGTCTATAGATTATCTGCCCTCTCCCCGTTCTTCCCTCAATTTTCCCACCCTCTTCTCTTCTCCAAGGGGTTTCTGGATGGTATCCACTCATTTGCAACGAGCACCTGGGTTGTGGAAGAGGAATAAGCTTGTTTTGATTGGCGATGCTTTTACAAACAAATAAGAGAAAAAGAAAAGGAAAGAAGAACAGAAAGAAAAAAGAAAGAAGTAAGGAAAGAAAGAAAAAGAAAAAAGAAGAGTTCGGCAAATTCTGAGCTCTTCTCCAATGGGTCTTCATTGGTTCTGTTATCCGGATTCCACATAAAATAGGGTGAAAATGGCGGTTAGCTCAACTGCATGTTCGAGGAGCATTGGCGAATTTTGAAGACTATCCCTCAACCTTTTCCTGTTCAGATGTCCCCGAGCTTTGGAACACTACTACCTGCAACTGAAGGATAACTTTCTTGACCAATGGGCTAGTCGCCACAGTGTTTCCGAAGAGCGATGTTGGGAGATGGCTGCGTTGGCTCTGAAAGGTCGATAAAGGGAACAATCCTGGCGGGTGAGCAACTTACCGTTTTCAACAGAATCTTCGGGAGGGTGGAAGAATCCCTTTCGTTGATGCATCTTCTGACTACTTCCCTGTTTAGCTATTTTCGAGCCGAGCAGTATTTTCCCATATGGGTGATCGATGTCCGCGGACTGGAGTATGTACGGAAGTACATGCCAGCTGCATCAGAAGACCTGAAGGACATGAGCCGAGTTGAGGCCATGATGAAGTTCGCCTTCGAAGCCAGTCGGTCAGTATTTTCACCGAGTTGCATCAGCTTTTGGTTTCAGTCACCTTAGAGTTGATATGTTCCTTCTTTAGATCGCCATTCGCCCTGAATTGCCATCTGTACGGTCTGCGACGGCATAAAATGGACACTGTTGATAACGCCGTTCTTGGAATCAATGCCAAGTAAGAACTCTTCTACGTATATCTTATCTATTTTCTTAATTTATCTTCGTTTACAATCTCATAACCTCTTGGTGCTACACTCTGGTTTTGGCCTGCTTCAGTGAAGGCGCCTTGGTGGTCAAGAAAAAGCAGGCCTTCTCGTGGTAGCACTCAATAAAATTCCTTTTCTCTTTCGAGAAATCAAAAACAAAAAAACAAAAAAAAATAAAAAAAAAATAAACTAAACCCACATGAAGCTTAACTCACGTTTTCGCTCAGAGCTTTCCATGAGTGCCTGACACTGCTTATCTTAGGGTTGCGAAAGAGCCACAGGTAAAGCAGATTGCGATGAGTCGCGTGGATGATTCTTGAGCCTCGAGTCGTACCTTTCTCTTGTGTTCTTATTTACCTCTTAATATTTCAGTGCCTCACACGAGCTCATCTAAGCCTAAAGCAATAGACGTTCCACCTCCAGACATTCCTTGAGCAAAGGAATCTCGGGTTTTTCTGCGCTAAAGGCCTTCAGCTACCTGCGTAGAGACTATCCTTAATTACAGATTGAATAGAGGCTAGTTAGATCATTTCGAGAAGCCTTTGTGACCCTCGGATAGGTACCCATATAGAAACCCGACGTTCACGGGTGTATATCTTTTCCGCGTCTAAGAATTTCAGTGTCTGTTCAGTAGGAATTGCACTGCGCTACGTGGTGCCAGTTTACTAGGCAAGTGGGAGGTGGGAGGAGGGGGGGGGGGGAGAGAGAGAGCTTCGGCGGTAAGGAGCATTCATGCTTCGGCAACGACAATTTCCAGTTCTTTATTCCGTTGTCCTTTTCCGTACAAGGCAAAGTGATTATTGCACTCTTGGAGTTCAGTCCTCCACCCAGCGAGCTGTGTTACAACTTTGTTTTTCCATACTCGGCGATGGATCACAATATGGAACATCAGAGCTTAGTTGCTGAGATGTGCCATCTTTTGTGGCGCTGAATTCAGCTCAAATTCGAGCCAAATTTGGTTTAAGAGAAATTCGTTTGCAGAGGAATCGAGATGTGTGACATTGGCGACGATGGCGAACGCATCCCGTTGCGGTCGTTGGCGTGGAACCGAGTAACGAGGCTTTCATTCGATCGGAAAAAGCTCACTATTGTCGGTGCTGACACCACCAAAATGTGCCTGTACGCTCAGAGTGAAAGCAAAGCTAGGTTTGTCGTTCGAGTTGCTTATCCACCCTACTTTCCGACTTACCCGTGAATTACAGGTATTTGTTGGAGCTGTGTCCGAGCAGTACATCAGACACTGCTGGTGCTATCACATCAGAATGGTAAGATCGCTCCGCTTCCACAGCTGTTCCAAGAGAAAAGCGTCGATCGGGTCTCCACGTCGTCAACCAACACCACCGTGCCCAATAACTGCGATATCGAAAAAGGTAAGTTGACTCGTTACCCACTTCTCTTATTGTCATTGAGTTCTCATGTTTTAGACTCAGATTCTTTGCTACGCGACTCGCTGAGCAGCTCCGGTGATCGAGGTCAAGGGTCGGTCTCTTCAAAACAACGAGTTCGCATAAAACTCGACTCAAATCTCGACCTGAAGATCGAAAAAATGGAGCTTGAGCGTGAGTTCTCTCTCATTTGCCCTTTGAACTGGGGTTTGACGCACTTCATTTTCCATTTGAAATATTGTTTGGCGGCAGGAAGTGGTGTAGTGGACAAGTGGCGCGCTTACCACGCGAGCGGTCCGGGGATCAAATCCTGGGTCGTGAGTCGCCCGGGCCAACAAGCCTTCCATCCCTCCGGGGTCGGTTAATTGGTACCAGACTTGTCTGGGAGGATAAAAACACTGACTTGTACATCGGCTGGCCCCCGCAAGTCATTGTATAGGCCACATCGCATTCAAATGCCACTGCGATTCTGAATGGATTGATCAAAACCGAATGCTTCATCCTCAAAAAGACCCGGCTCCCTTGGCTGCTCCTTTCCAGTGAAAACTATTTCAAAGTGACGAAGTCGTTTCCGACTGTCCACACTTCGTGCTCACGTGCCTGCCCTTTCCCGTCCTTGTCTATTGATAGGCGCAGACGGTGATTGAAGGAAATGAATGAGCACTGAAACTGTATGGTTCCACTCTTTTATCGTATCAATTCTCCTTCTGTTATGGTGACTTTTATTGATTTTCGGAATGTGTCTGTAATCGATCTCAAGTGCTCTCGGACGAACTTTGGGCTCAAGTGAGGGACTAACAATGAAAAGGCTTGGAAGACCAGAGATCCATAGCCTTAATTTTCGATAAGCATTTTTTCGATATATCCGCCAGTGCGGCAGTTCAACTGTAGGGTTTATTTGTTTCTTGTGCACTACTAAAATCTTTTTGCCCCGGGGCGGAAGTGGTACGGTGCAAGGAGCTGCTACCTCGCGCACAATCCTGAGATCAAATCCTGGATCGTACTTGAACCAAGCCAAGGAAGCCTTTCATCTCTCAATAACACAAAGTTCGTGAAACAACTGAACTGCCTACCGTCCCCCTTTCTGAGTAAAATTAAACATTTCAAGTCAGGCAAAAAATCTAGCGCTCAATTGGAAGCAAACCTGACAATGCTTATCATCTTTCAGATATCCGACAGGAACGTGCCGCCAGTCAGTCGAGCAAGACAAGCGACACTAGCGACCAGGTGGAACGGAAGTCTGACTTCTGTGGGAAGCCGATTCTGGAGAAGCACCACATGACTTCATCACACATCCTACCGCGGATGCAACAAATCATGTACTTCGAATTATCATGCTTATCAAATAAAGAATTGGTTAAACTCGTACGCTAAATTCTCCATGGATATATCCACGCAATGCCTACTGTCGTCTCAACATGGCTGTAGATGTGCTTATGAAACGCACGAAATGGTGCATCTGTCGGACTTGTCCTGTTGATAAGTATCCAGTTGGGACCGGAATCCCTCGATAGCAAATGGTACGAAGTTATACGCAAAAGGGCGTCCCTGTTTCGCCTTTTCGGCGCTACCACAAATGATAGGCGTATTCCCAAGCATCAAACGCTGTCGACGCTCGACACATTTTTCGGGAGTTTTTTGCGACCCCCTCCCTCTCGAGAGGGTCCAGTTGCGACCCCCCCCCAATACAACCAGCCTTCCTCCACCGCGACCTCTCCCTCTTTATAGTATTTGATTCTGAGACCAGTTGACACAGCCCAAAACCTACCTAAAACTCCGAAACTCCACCCACTTTTCCCCCAAAAATAGCCGTCGAGCGGGGAGGGAAGGGAACCCAAATGCCCTGACGCTCCTAACATCAAGGCGCGCGATGCGACAATGCGACCCCCTTCCATACACACAAATGCACCCCCCCCTCTCGAACTGTCTGAATTCTGACGGGTTACCCTCTTCCCAAGTACTAATTTTGGAACGGGCAGGAACTGACCGTAAAATGCGAATTGGGCTTCAACTCAGCCCCTGAATCTCTTTCCCCAATTCTAGTTCTATAGCTTGCTACTGTTCATAACAGGCGAGTGATCTCCAAAGCGCTTTCAAGCGCACTGCCCCCGTATCTTGCGATAGCGCCGCCTTTCCCTACCGTACTTTTTGCTTGTTTCAAATTTCTCTTACAAAGCAAAAATGCAAACACGATGAAATAAGTCGGTAGATTAGTGTAAGAACTAATGGTACTTTGAACAAAAAGCCACAGTTTACTAAACTTTAAGCGATAAAGACAAAACAACAACAACAAATTAATGTAAATACTTTTTTGTTTTGCTTTTTGCGGCAGTAAGTGAGGAAAGCTATAAAAAATGGCGTCCAAAAAAACCGTCGCTCCATACCCACATTTTAACGGCCTGCAAGTGTGGATTCTGCATCTCAAACGGTAGAAACGAGCACACGATGCGCACCGGTGGACGTCAATTTCAACCTGAAATCCGCTATCAATGCCACTGATCTTGACATCCTCGAAGCCTACGGTATACCGTATCAGGTACCTGAAGCTTTACTTCTACTTAGCCATCTTTGGAAGGGATTCTCAGATTTCGGCAGTTATTCTAGTAAACCGTATTTAGGGAGAGATCCAATACGCGTCCTCCGGTGGTTCGCGAAGCGATTCCGTCCAGCACTCTAATGAAATGCTACCAGAAACGATGCTCCATGGCTGTCATCACGAACAGGTACCTGACTTCTGAAACATGTCTCTGGGGGCTCAAAAACCAGTGGTCTTTTTGCAGGGTTGTGCTCGGTCAGAAGATGCTGATTCGACGCTACGATCAACTTTCCCTCAGCAGTCGTCCGTGTCTCTTCACGATTTACGAACGGCTGGCATCAAGCCGCCTCCAGGATACATTGACGAACGCACCGACAACGATGGGTAAGTCACGCTTCATTATTTATTTATTTATCTGTTTATTTATTTATTTATTTATCAAATTTACTAATTTATGTAAAACTCATTTAAGAAGTTAGCAATAGGTTTTATAGGCTGTCTAGGCTTATAATTGATAGGTTTTGCGTTGCATTTGATCACTTTTTCTAAAACGTCGGGCTTATTTTTAACATTTGATCATTTTTTTAACATTTGATAATTTAGTTTATTTTTAACATTTGATAATTTATCAATTGATAATGAGTGATTATAGCAACGTTGTCGTGATGCCATCTTTGCAATGGAGTACCACCGACCATCAGATGCAGAGATTGAGTGCATCCGGCCAGGCAAGGAGTGAACCCAAGATCGATTCTGATGTGAGGCTTTTGTCCTCGCCAAGAGATGAAGTGAGCTAAAAATGGAAAGAAGGTTTCCTTAGTTTCAGTTGTGGGGCCACCCTTCTGTAGCCGTGGCGCTACTGGACAGTCAAATCACAGCCAATGGTGGCCGTCTGTTCACCAAGAAATCCGCTAATGGCGTCATCAACAGGGTCCATTCCATGCCGGCTCATTACCACGTTGTCAACGGATATCATAGAACGGTACACCTTTTTTACTCTCAATTTCTC